TATAAGATGCTATTCAAAAACATTTTTCATACACAAATTCTGTAAATGTTACGGCGTCCAGCATAAAAAATGTGGAAAAAGTGTGACAGAGAAACCTACAGTTCAAAAATAACTCATTTTGAAAAGAAAACAAGTAGACTGGAGTTGAGGTTTTACACAAATTATAGCGAGAAGATGTACCCTTTCTATTGAAAAAAATAAATGTCAGATTTTAAAATGTTTTGGCAAAATGGCATGCACAATTAAAAATGGGTTGTGGATGTAACATTTGGTGTCCCATGTTTCATATTATGTTACATCCACAACTGGCTTGTGTAAATATATATTGTGTACAAATTTACCAACTTTCCAAAATCATGTGACTTAAATTTGAATGAATTGTTAAGCCACAATGTATGGGCTATCAAAAAATGTATGGGCTATCAAAAAATGCATAATCAAAACTTGTAAAAAAAGTTTGACCCCAATGTCACACTTTGTATTTCAACTTCGTGGAATGACCCATGAACAAGAGTAGTTGAAACAAATGAAATAAAATTATTTTAATTAAATTTTTAAAAAGTCCTGTTAAAAAATTCAGAGAAAAGTGGCTAGGAACCACCTCAGATTGCACCACGGAGTCTAGAATCCAAAATTTTCCCAGGCCCTTAGCGACCCCAGAACCCAAGCCATAAACAGCTTCAAGCTATACCGCTTGCTGGACTTCGCACTTCCTGCAAACATTTTCAGACTTTTGGTTACAGTCCAATCACATCCATGGATTCAGGATGGAAATGTACTCGTGTTAAACTAAATGGAGGCTCAGTGATTTCATGCAATTGTATTGTGTAAAAAACTGCTACACAAATAATGTGAATTGCTATACAAAAAAAAAAACATTGTGAAAAGAAGTAGGAGACCAAAACTGGTGATGGGCTGGTAACAGGTTTTATTATTGACTCTGGTAATGGGTAGTGTGGCACTGGTAGGAAAAGATGTGTGTGTGTGCTGTGCTAGGAGTATGTGTGTGGTTCTAAAGGGAAGAATAAACATAAAGGGGAACTTAATTACTATATGCATGGGCCTAAGAAACCCTAATCATATAATAAAACATTAACAATATACATGTAAACACATGTGTGCCCATAATTAGGCTGGCAATAACATGTACATGTACATAACATGACCACAAATATGGAGGAAAATGGCCCAAAATACTTATTAACAACCCCAAATATTGGTATAATAGCACATATATTCATGGAAAGACCCTAAATACTATGAAACCCTCAATATTCCCAGTAAAGTTCCGACAAACATGTGTATAAGTTACTAAGCAAAAGTATGGCATGACATGTAAATCCCATATATGTAATTACAGCGTAAATTGCAACCCAAAATTGACAATAAACATGAAGTAAATCCCCCCAAATATATCTTAATCAACAAAAATTGTACTCACTTTCTGTAATTCATGCACAGAGGGTATTTATGTGTATAATGAACCTGGTAATTGGGTAATTAAGGCAAATGATGATCAGGAGTCATAAACGGGGATTTTATAACAACAACGTGATTCGATAAGGATTGGATGATTATAACAGTAAATCACAAGAGGGCGCTGTTGTGCGCTCTGTGGCAGAGATGCTTTCGCACACATTGCATTAGCAGTGTTTGCTATGCAAAAGTGTTTAAGGAACTCGAACACTGCTCTTGACTTTGTTTTAATTTTTCTAAGGTTACATGCAACAATTATTTCAATACTTACCCAGCTACACAACATCATCTGCTCTCTCCTATGACACAGTTCTGTCCAAAAGATAAATTCAAGGAATGGCATAAATGTGGCGGAGCACTCTTTTGAATCATTTTGTAACATTTCCCTTGCACTGCAACCTGACCATCCTTCAAATCAACTTCAAATAAAAATTGGTGCACATGCTTAAGCCCCGTTCACATATTTAGACAGATTCCCCGGGCCCGGGAAATTCCCGGGGAGTTTCGGTCGGTCTGTTCACACTACCAAAGAAATCTCGGGAGTAGGGTTAAGGGAGAAAACCCTGGGGTTTCACGTTTTTCCCAGGGAAAAGCAACTGGTGTGAACAAAAGCGGGTATGAACTTACCCCACCTTGTTCGATTTCCCCTGTATCGCGTCGCATTTTTGCGACGCAATATTCAAGTGCTCCAAACTTTCGGAAATAAGTCGCAGTGTGCGATGCAAAATGTATGTGATTGTGAATATAATGGTGTGTTCAGTTTGTCGATCGGGCTGCCGCGTGACTAAAATACTCACAACTTCAGTTCGCGGCGCCTGGAAATGCAACTTTTATCCTCCAAAACATAACTATTTTCCAACAATGTTCGTACGAACATGTAGGCATTCTCCATGAAAATTTCTTCCATGAAAAGCACGTGTTGAGCTGCCGTACTACAGTGCACAGTGTGTGGGCATGTCACCAATGTGGATCACACCATTTACTGTAGGGGTGTACCATGATCTTTTTTTTAAGAACATTTTACCAGCATTTCCACTGTTCAAAAATTAAAAAAAATACTCTTTATGAAGTCCGAAACATTTCCATGTTAGAAAATAAGTTCCTCATCATCACAATATAATTTTGTAAAGAATTTTATTCAAGAAACGATGTAAAATTAAAAAAAAGAAGGGTAAAGCACCCCTTACGGTATCAATGGATGATCCGTCCATACCATACTTAGCATATTTATTCTGAAGAAAGTTGCGATCGAAAAGTTGATTTTTCACGTTACAAAGTCATTGCTGAAAGTAACAATTTGATAAGATTGGTAGTAAAATGAGGCCTGTTTAAATTTGTTCTTATGGCATGCTCTGACAATGCATGCGGGAACATTTCATCATAGTTCATCGGTGCGGCCCGGCCCGGAAGAGCGGGTTAATTGGCCGGGCGTCGGGCTGGGCTGGCTGGGCGTCGCGGCGGGATAGGTAGCAATTTTCGATGTGTATTTCTCAACGTCATCATCTACGAGGAACGGGAAGTTTTCTCGAAATTGGCCGACTGTCCGCCCACAATCATTTTGCACAATTCCCGGGGTTTGATTGCGAGTGTGAAACGACCGTGCATATTCCCGGGAAATAGTGCTCCCGGGAGTTACCAAAAGTGTCTAGTGTGAACGCTTGCTGGGGTGTTGGTGGGGTGAAAAATCCCTGGGAATTTCCCTGGGGTTTACTCCCTGGGAATTGGCTCTGTAGTGTGAAAAGGCCTTTACATGTAATTCTTGAAGAAATTGTATCCGTACCCCTTTACTATCCCTATTTGCTTATTTTTTCCTTTCTGAAAGATTTTAAATCTACCGCCTTTGCAAAATATCCACTCTATTCCTGGCCATTGTTAATCATCTACATTGTACACACATTATACAGACTTGTTTTTCTTAAGTTACACACTATTAGTTGGGTGGGAAAAAGGTGTTATCGTGCACCCTCAAAAATCAACGTCTAATCAACGTCTCTAGATCAGAAAAAATGCGTAGAAAACGATTTTTTTTTTAAATTTAAAAAAATGTCCCACGTATTGTTTTTATGCAAATTAGTGGCGCCATTACTGAAAAATCTATTTTTCACTATATCTTAGCCAATATTGCAGAAAACTGAACGAATTGGGTGTCTAAACCCATGTTTTCAAGGACAGAGATCACAATAAAACTATTCTGGAAGTGACCACATGTGTCTGTGGCATAGGAATATGCAAATTAGTGCCGCTAATACTGGAAAATACCGGAAAACAGAAGTCTGTACCGTTAAGTAAGAAGCATGTTTTGAAAAAAATTGCTTTATTATGGTTCAACCAACTTGAATAAAAGCTGAATCGACTTTTTCCTGGCAGGTCTCGCAATTCGCAAGGTTCAAGTTTCCGTTTGTTTCCGAGGGTGCACCCTTCTTCCCTCTAAACTATATGGACAATCCTTTATTGTTGTGTGCCGGTAGTTAAGAAAGGACATGTTTAAAAATGCTGCAACTTTCACTAGAAAAGTTTTGTGAATGTAAGTTTATGACCTTGATTTCCTTAAATGTTACTTCATTTTGCTACGGATTTACCCAAACCCCCCAAAATGCCTCTAACACTGTTTTTCAGAAAGTGGAAAACTCTGTGCCAACCTTGCCATCTTTGTGTGGACCACAGGATGCAGGTTGTTCGAACCTTCTATGTACAAGCATTGCAGTCACAATCATGACTTTGTGGACCTGTAAACAACAAGCAAAAAGAGGAACAATAGGAAATCCTAGATTTTTACACCATATACATGTACAAACGTATGTAAACACCTTTAATCATGGACCTTTTATTGTCCCTCTTTTGTTTGTAATTTAACATTTTAGGAAGACCTCCCATATGTTTTGAATGCACACTTCAATTGTGGACCCTATTGTCCTCTATTGTTCAAGGTCCACGATTTGCATGTGTAGACATGAACATGCATAAACCTGCAGTTTTGTTTACTTTGACTGAACTTAGGGCATTGCTATGCTGTTGCTAAGGTTGGTGGGTTTATTGTCAAATCCTGATCCGTTAATTCGTCACTGATTTCACGAAGAGACAGAAGTCTGTACCGTTAAGTAAGAAGCATTTGAAAAAAATTGCCTTTTTATGGTTCAACCAACTTGAATAAAAGCTAAATTGAATTTTTCCTCACAGGTCTCGCAATTCGCAAAGTTCAAGTTTATGTTTGTCAAAGAGTCCAATACTGTGACCTAATTATGACCTTCCTCCATGATTCAGACTTTCTAATTTTATGGTAACACTGAACATTTTCGTAGCATTTGCGTAGGTCTTGGCCCAAACCAAACTGATTCATTAGACTCGTTTAAGATAGTACTTAAGAGCTTTCTTTTTTCACATGCCTTTGATTAGTAAATTGATATCTGTACAAGAAACAACTGTGCGCTTTGAAACATGGTGGAAAACGCATTATAAATGTTGTAAGTTATAGTTATAGTTACATATTGTTTGTACCTAAAAACAACAATTTTCATATTTTGCAGACTGTGACGGCAGAACAGCTGTTGAGTTTTTTCCAACATGTTGGTGAAGTGAAATATGTACGCATGGCAGGTGATGAAACACAACCAACCCGATTTGCATTTGTGGAATTTACTGACACCAGCTCTGTTGCCAAGGCATTGGCTTACAATGGTGTTATGTTTGCAGGAAGACCACTAAAGTGAGTTTTTTTTTAATGTGTTTTAACAGACTGATTTCTCTTTGTACCTTTGGTTTGGTTTATTACGCAACATGACAGATATAAAGAAATAACATACACAATGAAAGTCAAACATTAAACTATAGATCTGTATTACAGTGGTAAAAGGACTAGAAGGTAGCACACTTGCTAATTAAATCTAGCCTTTGACACACTGCTGGGAGTGCTTTCACACAAAACCGATTAAAAAGCAATACTTAATCTCACGATTGACTTCCCCACCATGCCCCTGGAAACTTTTCGTGGAGCACATCAAGAAAATCGCTTCAGAGATGTTGACAATATTTTCACACACAGGAAAGCATCCCTGGCAGTGAGTTTCATTGCAAAATAAAATATTAATTTGGGCGAATACATCTACTTAGTATGAGCAAAAATGAACAACAAATATTCTCTAAATAAACAACGTAATCCAAACATAAATATTCCATCAAAATAGATTTTCAAAAAACCACACGCTCTAGAAGGTGTGTTTCTGATAGAGGTTGGTAATCCATTCCACATAATAGTCCTAGTGGAAGAAATGAAACCTTTTTCAGACAAGCATTTCCAAAAGTTTGCCAAACCTATCTAGAACCAAAGACTTCATGAACAAATTGTAGCACTATGTTTTAGTTTGCCTGAAAGTTTATCACCCTTTTAATTTTTGAATCAGTAATTTACACACTATTAATCTTTGAATGCACTGTCTTCACCGCAACTTCCAATTTTACTGTATAATATGTTAGTTGTTAATTTTAAAAAAATTGTGTATTCCCTTCAGGATAAACCATTCCAATAATGCGATTGTTAAGCCACCTGCCAAGACAGCAGAGGTAACTCAGAGAGAGCTGGCAGAAACAATGAAGCAAGTACGAGATGCACAGGCACTCATCCAAAAAGCCATTGAACCAGGTTGGATGTTCATTTGTATGCACTCTTATGAAGTTGGAAGGACAGTTGTATGTATCAAAGTGCCCTGGCAGAGACTGCACTATTGAGAACTTCATTATAAGTTAGAAACAAATTGGACTAAGTTACAGGGGTACCCCTACAACCTCTTGGTCCCCACCAAATCAATAGTTTATATATAGTTCAAGTGTGTGTGTAGCCATCCTTGTCCATAATGTTTAATGTTACTGTTATAAAAATGTATCAGAGAAAATGCATCAGAAGTATCCATGCACAATTTGAGGTATGGAGTGTCATTTAGTCATTTAGTGAAAGGGCTTTAAATACAACATTTTACATTTTAATCATCCCTTGATGGTGAAAATCTACCGGTACATATACTTACATTATAGTCCATTTTTCATGGTCAGGTGATATTTGCTTGACTGAACAAACAATGTGGTACCGGTACTAGGGAGAGCCAAGTCAATAAACACTGTGGTAGTGGAAGGGCCTGATATTTCATTCGTAGCAGGATCTTTCTCAAAGTCAAAATGAAACAGGAACAGTAACAAACCAGCAAGAGACAAACGTGCATGCATGGGTTATAGTCTAGGCGATATTTTAAAAAAGGGCTCATTTAGGCCCCCCACAAAAGTCTCCGGTTTCTGGTATGGAGCTTGCCCCAAAAGTGGTGCGGCGACACGGCTTTTTTTTTTTTTTTACCTGTTTTTTTTTTTTTTTTTGGCTTCAAATGTCGGCTGATGACTGCAAATGGTGCCCGACTAAACTTAGTGCAAATATATGGGAGTCCAAAGAGGCCACATAAAGCTTATTCTCGATCATAACCCCATCTAAAAACACGTTAAAATTGTGCAGCAGCAGAATTCCAGTCGAACCAGTGAGTTTGGCGGTTTTGAGACATCATCTTGTATTGAAAAAAAAACTTTTTCATTTTGCCGACGCGCATGGCTACGGCGACGCGCGCATACCAGAAACCGGAGACTTTTTTTTTTTGGCCTTAGGGCAAGAAAAGGCATTTTTGAGTAAAAGTTGGTAACCTAGTTATTTTACCTAATTTGGGGGTTGAATCCGAAAATGATGGATACCAAGCTTTTTTTAGTGGAAATGTGCCTCAATATTTAATACCTGTTGTGTACTCATGGTAATACGGTATATTTGTTCCCATATTTGGGTATATATATATATATATTTTTAAAGTTAATTTTAGTGATTCTACTTACACTTCCTTACCTCACTAACATTTTCTAAAGCATATGAGTGACTGAATAATTATGAGGACATTTCAACAATCCAAAATGGCTACTATTGTACCCTAAAGTTGCGCAGCACATTTACTTAAGTAGTCTCACCAAATGCCAGTATTAACAAAAATAAATGGGAAATCATGTGGAAAATGGATAATGTCTTGATATTTAAGCCAAGAAAGAAAACGGGGGGAAAATGAGGTATCCATAAATTTGGCTAAAAATTAGGCAAAGGGTTGGCCTAACGTGGGGGACTTGAACAACTTCAAGGAAATCTCCCAAAATAAAAGATTAATGTTGCTTACAATAATTATGTCAACATCAAAACGTTTTCTTACCAATAATTTGGGAATTTCCTGGAACTTGTTCAAGTCTCCCACGTTAGGCAACCCTTCACCTACTTTTTAGCTCAATTTACGGACACCTTGTTTTTCCCCCGTTTTTTTGTTTGTTGGGCTAAATATCAAAATGTTATCATTGTTCGCATGATTTTTCATTAGATTTTAATAGGGTAACCGTACCAGTAAGCAATATGGTGAATTTGAAGTTCATCAGTACTGAGGTTTGGGCAAGACTACTTGATGATATCTTGAGACGAGGTAAATGTGCGCAACTTCAAGGTAAATGTAGTTAACCCATGTTACGGCCCCACCAGGCCTGTAACATGGGTTACTGTAATGCAAGTTACCAAAATATAGCCCTCTAGAGATTTCTTGATTATTTTTAAATAAAAGTTTTCATGAAAGGGACAACCCTGGATCCAGCGGTGTAACTAGGGTTAAACTTTTTTTATTTCAAGGTGGTGATAACACTACTGAATACAAAATGTTGTTTTTAAATTGTACTCTGTTTAAATTAATCAAAGTAAAGTACGTGAAATAATGAATGGAAAATGTGGGAAAACACTGTTCTGTTTATCTATTTATTCATCTGTTTCTTGCAGTTCAATGGGAATAGTACCGTTCCATCACAATTTCATATCACAATAAAATGTTCAATTGGCTGTTGTGTCTTCACAGTTGGCAGTAATGCCTAGAAAATTTTAAAGCACTCCAAGCCAACTAGCTTTGCACCACAAAAAGTTAAGGTCAAGGCCTGGTGAAGTAAGGAATAATAAGATAAGGTGTGCAGTTAAATGTGTGAACTTTCCTTCCTTTGCAAGAGTAGGGAGTACCGAAGTTTCCCTGCGTATTCTGGTTCATGCGCATAGCTTAAGTGTGTGTTGACATCAAGTGTTAACTAGCACGTGAACCAGAACAAGGACAGATGACATCACACTTACCAGTAGGTGCTTTATATTTGTATAGAGTATTGACATGTTGTGGTAAAGCAAACATTACAACTCAATTCTTAATTTTCTTTCAACAGAGGATTTGGAGAAGGAAATAGAGAAGGACGATAAGAAAAAACGTAGCAAATCTCGTTCTCGTAGCCGCCATCATTCCCGGTCTCGGTCAAGATCCCGACGTCGACGCTCACGCTCACCAAGGCGTTCCTCCAGAAGATCCCGTTCTCGTGGCCGTCGTTCACGTTCTCGCACCCCTCGGAGACGCTCTCGTACTCCACCAAGACGACGATCACCACGAAGATCACCTAGGAGGTCCCCTCCTCGTCGTCGGTCACGATCTCGTACCCCACAAAGACGTAGAAAGAGCAGAGAACGATCACGTAGCAGAGAAAGGCGATCCAGATCAAGGTAACATTTTCATACTTGATTAAAGCAACTATATCATTTTAAAAGTATGGCCTTTTGGTTGGCCAAGTGCAGCACGCGAGTATGTTTCTTTGCATTGTAAAAATCAAACCTAACTAGAGGTTCGTGTTTGTTGAATTACAAACGCAGAGTGGTCGGGCTGGCATCTATTTCATATGTCATAAACTTTGCCACAATAATCAACTGAAAATCATTTTAAACATTTCTGATGATATTTTAAATGGTCATCCACACGTATAATTTACCTCAAGAACCCCACACACGTTCTAAATAAATTTGATCTAAATTTGATTTAAATATTTAAATTTAAAAATCTATTTTTCTTAGGGTCGGAAGACAAATATTTAAACCACCCCGTATTTTATAAAGCACTCCAATATATTTCGGCTGGAGCAGCCCGCCTCTATTTCCAGATATCTTTCATAAATTCTGACACGTATACATGTACAGTGGGTTCTCCCAATTATGAAGCATCATGTGTGCGAAACTTCTGCATTTTATTTCCAAACAACTGTTTTCAATTAGACTTAAGAAATGGTCTTAAGACCTATGGTCGATGTGTTTAAACATTTGCGGACCTGATATACGTACAAAGTTGTACATAATAATTTGTGACTTTGAACACAGAGAACAAATCACCAGAAATTTATTGAACGTGCCCATTTTGAATTTGCGGAACCCATAAAACATTTTACAGAAAATTTAAGGGGTAAATAATTATTTGATGTAGCTAATAAATTTATACTGGGCCGCTTTCAAACTATGCCTGGCATTTTCCCATCATAGAAATTATTCCATGCATGCAAAAAACGATTTTGAAATTCTTTCCATCCGACTCGAAATACATGTATAGTCATACAAGGCGAAAAGATCAATTGTTTACCCGGCTGTGACTGTAGTAATTCCTTTTTGATGCATGTATTTGAAATAAAAATACAGTGATTTTTATTTTGAATGATGAGGCAGTTACGGTCCTTCGAGAAAGAAAGTGACCAGGATAAAATCAATACATCTTGTTGATGCGCGTCGTGGAACATGATCGGAATGGGATACAGAGACAAGAAATTGAAAAAGAAATTGACTGGTTTACTGCATTTCGTAATGATCACATATCCATGGTACCGGTACTTTGAATGGAGATCAGTGTTGGATCTAACACTCTCATCATATCAGTTTCATTGATGGGAAAAGTGTAGGGGGAGGACTAAAAGACGCAATCCCACGATTAGCCACAGCCACAAAGAAATTGTCTGGTACACTGCACTTTGTATTAAATAATCATATCCATGGACACATAGTTTTCTTGATGGGAAAAGGTATGGGCTGAACTAAATCCAGGGATATTTAAGACACCCACAAAGATACTGGCTGGTATACTGCACGCCGTACAATATCACACATCCATGTATACCAGTGTTGGTACTAACACGCGCATCACAATTATCAGTTTCGATGATGGAAACAGGCAGGGGCCGAACTTAAAGACGCAATCCCAGGATATAATAAGATACACCCACAAGGATCTTGGCTGGTATACTGCGCTCCGTTTAATATCGCACATTCATTATTATAATGGAAACCATTGTTGGAATTTGCATCAATGATCAGTTCCGATGATGGAAACGGGTAGGCCCAGGGGCCGAACTAAAAGACGTCATCCCAGGATATACAAACTGAACATGTAATAAGACACACCCACAAAGATATTAGCTGGCATACTGCACTTCGTATATTGATCACAGAACTATGGTACATGTTTTTACACGTACAATGCAATGGGCTGCCGAAGTAAAAGAATAAAAATGAAGTGTAGCAGACCCAGATATTCGTATCATTGCACTCGTAAAGTCAATGGATTTGATACACTTGTCATAATAAAAACCAGTTCTGACTAGGTATTTGTTTTACACACACACACACACCCAGTCGTTTTTTGCTATGCTTCCGAGGATTGGCTTTGTGTTTTCCTTTGTCCCTGTAATATAACACTCTCCCATAGACTAAGCACACAAACCTGCGTTCGAGGACAATAGGCACCTTCCTTCGAGGATCAATGGCCCTTTGTGCTCCTTTTGTTGTCTGTCCTCAGGCGTAATGCCATGCAGGAACACACAAACGGACGGAATTCGCGGAATCTGCTCCTCGAAACGGAAAACGGAATTTGAATCTGAAGAAAATAACTTCTGCAATTATATTGATAAAAAAACTTAATTTCGTTAAATTTATTGAGTCCAAAACGAATTGTTGATGATTGATTGAACAGACAAGCCATATAACAAATGAACGGTGTTTATATCACAATTGGGGGGGGGGGGACAAAAACGTTCAAGATCAGAGCAATAAATGTTATGAGATCATTACCGTAGTACGTGGGACTGGTGAAAATCATCACACTCGCGGCACGCTCTCGTAGGTCTCTTTTGCTCCAATCAATCAACCATCGTATGACATCTAACTTTGGCTCTATTGAAATGCATGTTGTGCTAGGTCCAAAAATCTCTCGTAAACTATCTTATTTTGTTGCTAAAGCGAAAACAAAATGGTGGCCATGAATTTTGCTTTGGCCAGCTGTTGTGTGTGACGTCATGGGATTGGCCTGTACGGCTAATGCATGTCTCTTGCGTGTGTGGTGATGGCGGTGCAGTATACGACTTGACTGTGGTGAAGTTAAATACAATGTCTGTACATTAATGGGCCGTTGATAAAATAGCAATTTTGTTTTTGGCAAGTTTTCTTGCATTCCAACCAAACGACTATTTCATTATCGTCTTGGAACTATTTTCTGTGTACATATGTTTAAATGCCTTTTTATGTATTGAATAAATGTGAAACGGAATTTTTCAGCCTGAAACGGAATTTAGGATTTTTGAAAACGAAATTTGCACTTTTCTGAAACGGAAAAACATCGGCCCTAGTAATTGTAAATCAAGTTTTGAGGTAAACTTTGCTGTTATTTTTACATGTCGGTTATAATCAGTTCCCCGTCCTAAATCACATTTGCAAAGCTCCGTGGTTTGTGACATCCTTCAAACGTTGACAATAACAATCAATACGGTCACCGTGTTCTGGAGGTATAGTAATGCATAATTTATGACCTCATTAACATAAAAATAGCACACTTTCCACGCCTACCTTATCTTATTAACTTGCCTTCATCTGAGTGATTTCGCTGCGGTGAAAACGCGTTTTGTACGGTCGTTAGCAACCTGGAAATAATGCGGCGACTGAAACAGTCAAAATGCGGCGATCTTTATGAGAAGCAGCCTAACATTTTATGACGTCACCGGTAATTTGTTTCTAAAGTACAACCTAGCCAGAAACTAACATCATTAAAAGCAGGTTCACATCTTTTTCCAATTTCAAATTAGAAGGCAATTCCAGTTTGGACCGGAAGGAAACCTCACGTGATTTGCATGCAATATAAAAAAATGAAGACCGTGGAGTATTGTATCAATTTCCGTAAAAAGCAAAATCAGATCTATCACAGTTGATTTTATATTGAGTGCCCAAAGTGGATGTTACAAAAGTCATGTACAAGGTCTATGGGATTTGGGATAGAACAAAAAAGTAGAGGGAAGCAGAAGAAAAAAGAAAGGCTGTTCCACAACTTTGTGGAAAAGTGAAATAATTAGAACAAAAAGAACAGTTTTTTCCTCAAATTTGCGAAAAAGCTCAAAAAGGTCTATGAGGTCTATGTCTGTTTGATGAATAGAACATAGGGCTTTTCTGCAATTTTCCTTTTTTAATCAATAACACGTCCCTGACTATATGTACGGTATACAACATTTCAACCTAATCCTACTGGTTCTGTAGATATAGATTTTAAATATGCACCTTTACGACTACATGTACGTCACAAGACCAGTGATCACCTGACGCCAGAGCACTATTGAATATTGCATGACGTCACTGGTCAGATTTTTGAAAAAGCCCACCCTTGCCACAAACTAACATCGTTGAAAGCAAAGTAACATCTTCAGGCCTTCAATTGGGGAATTTTTTAGGGCAAGGCAACTTTGGCCTTGAATGAAGCAAAATTATGGAGGGCACCAAGGCCAGTAGGTAGGGCACCAAGGCTAAGTAATATCTGCTGAAGGGGCACGGAGGCTAAATGCAAATACATTGTATTAATTGTATGGAAAGAAATGCATACTACAGGTTACTACTCAGTTGTATTTTGTAGCTTTTGGTGAGGTTAGGGTTAATACTAATTACACTTTAAACATCTTTTATGCCCAGCAGTGTACTTGTACTTGCATCAATTGGTTGAGTCTTTAATCAGACTATTCTGCATCATCCTCATTGATGATGTCAGAGAATGACTCTACATCATGATCAGGGATGAGATCATCGTCACTGTCTGTGTCAGAACTGCTTGATGCATGGACTCAAGATGTGATGACCTGGGGCCGTATGGCTTAATATGAGGGCGCTTGAAGCATTCCCCACTTGACCGCCATCTTGCCACTGCTGGTTCAGGGTTGAAGACTTGTGGCTCAGGCCCCTCGCTGCAGATACAAAGCAAGTCCTCGATGGCAAGCTGAGACGCCAGTCTCCTAGGATTTGCTTAATACACGAGGACTGGCGTTCAACTTGGGATGTTGCAACAGTCAGTACCAATACGATGCGTAGAAGATGTAGAAAGTTGGAGTACGTGTATTTGGCGCTCTTCTCCACCAACATCTTTTTCTAGAGTGGAAGGAACTTGTCATTCTTGTGATGCTTTTTGATGTCATGTTTCACCTTAATCCACTCTCTTTCAACCTGGGTGATGTCACATCCTTTCTTGCTGAGCAGAGTCACACATCTCTTGAATTTCATCCAGGCCATAATCGATCATTTCATTTGACTGTGATGAGAAGTTTTCTGGATCCAATACTTCAGTCGCCATGAGTACAGGGTCGTCCTTGAAGCTGGCAAACCTGTTGCCAATACATGTGATGATCTTGTCCACAATGTCCTCTGTCTGTCTGTTGAATGGG